TGTCCTCTGCTGAGGTCTCTTCCCCAATCTTCTCAAGGATCTGAAACTCAGAGCGAGCTGTTCAGAACACACAGGGGAGATGGGCCTCCAAGATAAGCTCTCACGACAGCGCTGACACGGTGGCCCCTGTCCTGCTGCACCTTCTCAGGAGGCCTGACCTGAAGTGCTCTGAAGCAGCTGTCACATCAGCAAGAGGAAGGGGAGCAAGGAACAAAGGAGGGGTGCTGGGCCCCCAGAGAGCTCAGAGCAAAACTCAGTAGGGACAGACACGCCTGAGCCACCTGCAGAAGCCAACAGCTCAGGACCAGGAGGGACAGCCCAGCAGTGGGGGGAGCCACACCGTCATCCACTGTTTTCAACCAGATGTCCACAGGGCACTGGCTTCCAGGAGGAGGATGGAGACCTGGCCACAGTTAGGGATGGGGAGGAGCAAGGTGCTAAGCCAGCAGCTGTCTGTGGGGCAGTCAACCCTGGTGCTGGAGGGAGGCCTGGGCACTACTTCTGGAAGCACGGAGAACTGGCCTCTCCCCAAAGGTTTATTGTGTTGACTTGGGAGGGACAGCTGGAGGAACAGGAGATGTTCAGCCCAATAAAAGACAATTCTGCAAAAGCTACAGGAAACATGTCTTTAAATGTTTAAAAAGATTTCTGAGCGGAAGACAAAGCAGCCTGCTTTCAAGCTGTTTAACACATACAAACTCGGGTACTCCTCACAAACACCCCGTGAGGCAGGTGCACTAATGTCATTGCTCCCATTTTACAGAAGGAGGCACAGAGAGACTAGGATGCTGGTTAAGGTTACACAGCAAATAAGTGGAAAAAATAGGATACATGCTTTAAGTGTCTGACTCCAGAAATACAACGTGTGACAATAAGTCCCTGTGACCCAGGTAAGGAAATCAAGGCACAGAAAGGGTGAGGTGCTTGTCCAAAGCCAGAGAGCAACTGGGGAGCCAGGATGATGGTTCCAGAGTGCCACACTTGGCTGCCTGGCAACTGCCCTCACGTGGCCTCATTTGCCACATCGCTCCCCTGACCCTGGTGTGTGAACAAGGAGGTACGGGGTGTCACACACACTGTGCTGTGCTGAGTCAGCAATACCTGCTTGTTTATGTAATGTGAGATCTGCTGACTGAAGGAAACCAGTGCCCACAGAGGGGCCAACGATACGGATCAGGTGATCTTCTCTGAGCCACTGACCCTCCACCGAGCCAGGGACAGTCGATGTTGAAAGGCTTTGAAAGTCCCAGGAAGTCAAGGGCCTGTGTTCCTACACCAAGACCAGAGAGATGGGCAGGGAGAGGGCCCCTGTGTGTCACCAGCACCATTAACTGAGCGTTTACTATGTGCTTGGCCTCTCCTGGGTGCCCTTTCAGTCCCCTGGAGCACTGGCCCCAGCACAGAGCTCCCTGAGTGTTGGATGATGGAGTAAATGTGTCCTCCGTAGGACCCAGCAGGCAGGGGCGACCACCCCATCCTACTGAAGGAAACCGAAGGTCCAGGAAGGCTGTGACGTAAGAGGGGCCACAGAGACAGGTGCAGCTCGGGCCTGGAACTCAGGGCTCCCCCCTGCAAACCCAAACCCCTAACTTCCACACCCACTGGCCAGGACCAGGACCGAGGTGTGTAAGGACTTCCTCAGCAGGGATGTCTCTGGCAACTGGGACATTGCCAGTGGCTATGGGGCTCGAGTGAGGACAGGACCCCAGTGAGGCACAGGCCTCGTGGCCACAGTGCTCTGTCGTATCTGAGCCCTGCAGGCCTCAGTGTGGCAGGCTGCCTCCTCCAGGAGCCAACTCTGAAACAAGGACTGGGGCGCAACCAGTCTGTCAGGAAAATGTCCCCAGCAGGCACCCGTAAGGGGGTGGGGGAGAGAGACAGGGAGGAAGCCTGAGGGGATATGAATGACCAGGTCACCTTCATGGGCAACTGGGGCTCAACCCTGCTTGGGGTCACTGTGGGGTGGCAGAGAACACCACTCTCAGACACGTGCACAGCAGGAAGCAAAGACGAGGAAGGGGACAGGATCCCAACAGGAAGGCCACCAGGCTCCTCTGACCAGGAGTCTGCAGAACCATGCCTGCCGTGAGGTCGGGCAGGTCAGGCGGAGTAGTGGGCTCTGGGCTCAAGCCCCCCTGCAGCTGGGGTTGAGCGAGCATCACTGACGGAAGCTCCGTGCCCCCAGCAACAGAAATGAAACCAGGAGGACGAGCTCCCGGAGAGGCTGCCACCAGGGTCACCTGAAGGAGAATGGAGGCTACTGATGGAGCGGTCAGCTTGGCCCCCAAAAGAGAGAAGGCCAGGGGCGAGGTGGGCTGGGGTTAGGAATTGTCATGGGCTTTTCCTGTGTAACACCTGCACCTGCAGGGAGCAGCCATCAGCCAGTCTGTTGAGAGCCAAAGGTCACCCCTCTCCTCGGGAGGTTGCATCCTGCACCTTCATCTTCACTGACAGGAGGGGTCGCTCAGCTGCTGAGAGGACAGGGTGGGGGACACTGACATTCAGCGCCAGCTCCCGGGCCTCAGGACAGAGCTGTCTTCAGCCCTATGACAGTCCCTCTCTCGCTAGTTTATCACTGGCCGCACTAAGGCAAAAGCACCCTGGCTTCAGGGTCACACCTGTCTGGTTTTTGTTGTTGTTTTTAGATGTACAGGTCAGCAGAGCACATTTGACATATTATAAACACATGGAGTAAAACTTATCCTAATTAAAATCCCATGCTCATGCTTGTGCCTGTCATGGAGGCTCACTGTCGTGTGTACATACGTGAACACAGGAGAGTTATGTCTGACTCGTTCTTCTGCCTTTCCTATTCTCATCCCCCTCCCTTCCCCTCATTTCCCTTTGTCTAATTCAGTGAACTTCTATCCTTCCCTTCCCCCTTATTGTGTGTTAGCATCTGCATATCAGAGAGAATATTTGGCCTTTGATTTTTTGGGGATTGGCTTATTTCACTAAGCATGATATTCTCCAGTTCCATCCATTTACCGGGAAATGTCATGATTTTATTCTTCTTTATGGCTGAGTACTATTCCATTGGACACACTAGTTTTTGAGGTGACTGAGAGAATGAGGATAGGGAAGAACACATATTATGCTTTTTAATGGGTAACAGGCTAGAGTTCAGGGTTGGAAAGCAGGAAAAACACCCTTTGGATGGCAGGCTGGGTTAAGGTTCCAGGAGAGCATCTGTCCTTTTTAGTGGGGAGGGGAAGCTGACTGTCTCACCTTCACACATGTCTCAGGGACACTTGAAGCCCTCCTCCAAAAACACAACTCCTACTCTCATACTACCCTGGAGGGAACTTGAGATTACCCACGAAGTATTTTAAGCAGGGCTGGCTGGGATTTGTGCCAACCAGCATTTGTGAGTGATCCCTCCGGCTAGGGACAAGAGTCAGAAAACAGAACAGCTTAGAGCAGGTGACAGCAGCAGTGACCCTGGCAACCCACCCTGGCATGGCTCTAAGTATTGGACCATCCAAGTCTCCAATCAGGGGCAGGAACTTTAAGGAGCCCAATGGAGCTAACTTGTGAGGGCTGAGGAGCTGGAAGAGCTGGGTGAGGAGGTCCCTGAGACACTTCTGCAGCGGAAGGGACACTGAGGTAGGCAAAGCTTTCTGCAGGGATCTGCTTGGCTCAGGAACACAAGATACCTAGAGACTGAGAGAGGGGCCAGGGAGGCAGGAATGGACACATGATGACAGCCCAAGGGTTCCTCCATTTCTGACAACATGGGCAGATGGGAAGATGCCATCACCTTAGGAAGGACTCATGCTGCAATCACCATTTGGTATGCTATGGGGGTGAGAGGTGGTCAAGACTCTCAACCCACTTTTCCATCCTCCAGGAACCTTTGTATGGGTCCTCATCATCCCTGGCTCCTCCCAAATCAGCAGCCATGATGTCCCGGAGTGTCCTGACACACACTCCTGCTCCAGGGTTGGCAAGGTGACTCAGCAGCTGGGAGCTGGGCTAGGAGCTGAGACCCCCTGACTGTCTGCCTGGCCTTCCCCCTCTAACTCCTGAGTGTCCCTGGACAACTTCCCAGGTCTCTCACACCCCCAGGTGGAGAAACAATGGCTTCTCAAAGAAGCCTCTGGAATGTACTGTCGGGGGAGCCCTGGGATCCCCCAGGGCCATACCCAGGCAGTTCAACCATAAATGCTGGAAAGATCTGGGATGAGCTTGGCCCAACTCCAAGACACTCTTCCTAAGCAGCACGCTGGGGATCCATCCAGCCTTCTCTCCTGGGTCTTAGGTAACCCCTGTTCCCAAAGTCTTCTCTAGGCAACTGGGAGGTCCAGAAGGCTTAGTGAACAAAGGACATTTACAAGTGAACACAGGTGAAGGGAGCGGGGGCAGGTTCACACACACACACTTCCAGAAAGGAAGATCCTAGCAGATCCGACCGGAAGGGGGACGGGGGAGGGTGTGCAGCATGCTCATGGCACCGGCGTGCCCGGGGACAACGGTGATGCCTCTTACGGTTCCGCCAGCGCCCTCACAAAGGCTTCAGTGTTGGCAAGGGGCGGCCACTGGCTGCATCCTTAAGTACAGGGTGGGAGAAGGCGGCCACGGTGTGACTGAGGTTTCCCGCCCCGGGGACCCTCAGGGCCACTTCAGATGCACTAGGCTCGAGCAAAATCACCACAGAACAGACGAGGAACCGGGCGCGCCGGCCAACTGCACGGGGTTGGCGGCTTTTCCATCCAGCCTTGCCTAGCGGCTCCTCGAACCGTTTTCCAATGCTCTTCTCCACCAGAAATATTCCCCTGCCCCTTTCCCTTCTCTGCCCGCACACTCTCCTTTCATCCCTAGAAAACGACGTTCGCGAGGAAGGTAAAGGCGAAACCCTTCAAAATACTCGCGGGTCTCGGCCGAGCCCATGCGCAAGGCGCAGGCACCCGCTAAGCCCCGCCCCTTCCTGGCAGACGACTCCCCGCCCCTCACCCACACGGCCTCACCGGAAACAGCCCTTCCAGCCCGGCGCGGCCGGACGTCTCTGACGTCATAGGAAGGCGCCACCGGCAGAGGCTTCACGTGGACTCGGGTTTGGAAACTTTCGGGCTGGGTCATGGATACGCCGCTTAGGCGCAGCCGGAGGCTGGAGGGCCTAAAGCCCGAAGCCCCCGGGAGTCTCGCCTCAGTTTCGCGGGCGAGACGGGCCCTTGTGGAGATCGAGTCGAACCCAGAAGAAACGAGGGAGCCCGGGTCTACTCTGAATGTGCAGCCACTCGGCCTGGAGTCTCCCCGACGTCAGCGGGAGACAAGCCCGGGATCACCCAGCCTGCCGCGGTGTGCAGACTTGGAGTCCCCGCGAAGACAGCCAGAGTTGGGCCCAGAGTCCCCCCAGCATCGGCAAGAGCCAGGCCTGGGGTCCCCCCGAAGGCAGCCGGAGCCGGGCCCAAAGTCCCCCCAGCATCGGCAAGAGCCAGCCCTGGGGTCCCCCCGAAGGCAGCCGGAGCCGGGCCCAGAGTCCCCCCAGCATCGGCAAGAGCCAGGCTTGGGGTCTCCCCGAAGGCAGCCGGATCCGGTCCCAGAGTCCCCCCAGTATCGGCAAGAGCCAGGCCTGGGGACCCCCCGAAGACAGCCGGAGCCGGGCCCAGAATCTCCCCAGCAACGGCAAGAGCCAGGCCTGGGATCCCCCCGAAGACAGTCGGAGCCGGGCCCAGAGTCTCCCCGAAGACAGCCAGAGCCGGGCCCAGAGTCCCCCCAGCATCAGCAAAAGCCAGGTCTGGAGTCACCTCCAAGACAACCAGGCTCGAGTCCTGAATTCCGTCAATCTCAGCCAAAGCCAAGTGAGGAATCACCGAATTTCCCCCAGGACCGAGGAGAACTGGACTCAGAGGTGGCCCAGTGTAAGGAGGAGCTGGCCCCGGGATCCCCCCCACATCAGCTGCAGCCAGGCGCAGAGTCACCAGAGCCTTACCCCGGTCAGCAAGCCCCTGGTCCTGAGCCCTCGCAACCACTACAGGAGCTGACGCCCAGGGCACCTGACTCCCCTGGGAGCCAGCAGGAGCCAAGCAAGCCACCTTCATCTAGAGAGAAGGTGACAGGCGGCCTCAGTGCAAAGAAGCGAAATGGATCTTCAGTGCAGGCCCCAGGGTCCAAGAAGTTGAAGAAGGAGCAGGAGGAGCTTCCTGTAATCCCTAAGGGGAAGCCCAAATCCGGGAGAGTATGGAAGGACCGCTCCAAGAAGAGGTGAAATGGGGGACGGCATGGCAGGGATGGGGTTCTTTATGTGTTTGGGCCCTGCCTTTACCCTGGTGTAACCCTGAGGCCCAGAATTGAAAGGAGCTGTCTTCAGTGAGGATGTCAACCAACAGGTGATCAAAGTCAGAATGTGATAAAAATGCTTGAGATCCCAGGAGGGTGAGACCAGGCCCTCAAAGGTCATTTTCATGGTTTCTTTCCTGGGGTCCTTATGGATCTCCCCTATAGCAATCACCTAAGTCCCATATTCATTTAACAGACATTTCCCATTGTCCGCCATCTCCAATAGGGAGGCAGACGCAAGTAAACCAGCCATTACTTGATAAAAGCAGTGAAGTCTTCGCCCACTGTCATCTGTTACAGTTATTTGCGCCTAGGATAAAAAAAAAAAAATCACCAAACCCTGATTATATAGAACAGTGTGCTCTTCCGAGGGGCTTGGCTGGGGAAGAGCCTTTCAAACACAGACATCCTATCATGGCATTTAATCTGTACCTTGGCCCTATGGAGCGGGTGTCATTTTCACTCCTGTTTTATGTCTGTGGAAACTGAGGCTAAATGAGTCATGGACAGTCAGACAGGCTTTGAAGCTGGAGGATTGGAGAAAGTGGCTGGTGGTACTGCCCCTCCTCCCTGTCCTAGAAAGTCTAGGAGAATGACAGGGGCCACTGATGGCCACACAGAACCAGATGAGGAGGTTGGTTGCAGTGGGAAGAGGGTGATGAGCAAGTCGGGCTTGAGGAACTGGGGTCCTGGCACTGGGGCCACCCCTGGGAGAGGGTGAGCTTACTGAGCAGGAGTGGGTGGGCCCAGCACAGGGGAAAGAGAGGAGCAGGTAGAGCAGGGAAGGAGGTCATTGGCCCCAGCTGACTTCCATTACACGCTCAGGGCACAATGCTCATCTCCATGTAGGAGAATGAAGTCTCAGAGGCCACCTCACCCAGGGTCACACAGGCAGTAAGCAGTGAACTCGGGGCTTGGCAGCTGGCCTGTCCTCCAGTGTTCAGGTAAGACCCATGCTCTGAAATAGACTGACCCCACCCACAAGCCATCAGCCACATAGAACTATTTAAAGTAAAGTTGAATGAAATCTACATTTACTTTCTTAACCCCAAGCTATGCAGGTGCTGTGCAGCCCTGTGAGTGGAGGCTCCCATACTGGACGGCACGGGTGTGGAGCATTTCCCCCATCCCAGAAAGTTCCCCAGACACCACTGTGTCCTGTGGCTCTGGTGACTCCAGGATCCCCCCCACCTTATCCTTTCAGGATTCTCATACCCGAGTTTGGAAAGCCCAGCTTTAAGACCAGGGAGGAGCTCAGGCAGTGCGCACTCTTTTGTTTTTAGAGGGTGGGTCTAGAACAGCAGGCCCTGGGCGTGGGAGAGGGAGCGGGAGAGGGTGTGCTGGGGCCAGAGGCTGGTACTACAGTGGGAAGGCTCTGCATGGAGGGGCCTGGAGTGGAGTTCTGGGATACGTGTGCCCGACTCCGTGGAAGGGGAGAGAATGGTCCAGAAGAACTGTATTGACCCTTCCCGTGGACAGGAGTGGACTATGCCCAGCATGTACATGGGCCTTCAGAGGCTGGAACAGTTTGGGGCTCAGTACAGTGGACGTGGGGAAACAGGAACTCTTTCAGAAGACTTTGGTCAGGGAGCAGGAAGGCCACTGTGAGGCTCTGCAGAGGAGCCTTGGGGGTAAAAGGAAAAGTGCCAGTCAGCCCGAGGGACAGTGAATAGTGACAGGAGGAGGACTGAGCTGGGAGGCTCTCTTTGTTTTGCTTTTTATGATGGAGATTTTTGAGCACGCAGACCTGGAGAGAGCATAGGGTCATGAGCCCATGTTCCCTTCACCAGTTTTGACACTTCTCAGTGTTTCATTGGCCTCAGGACCTTTGTCCTGGGCAGTTTTCTCTCACTCTTTTCCCTAGAATGTTTTAAAGCCCATGAGCTCCTGCAGGATGCCTCCTTGGAGAGTGTTCATTTCTCCTATGACTCTAAAAACATCGCCACTGTTCAGAAGGTCCTGACTTCCTTGAAATCCCCTAATGCCCACTCCCTTTGTGCGTCCCAGCCAGGGGGAGAGGCACCTGCCCAGCCTCACCTTGGGAAGCAGGACGGCTACCCCCTGCTTAACCCGCTCAGGGAGTAAGCGCCCATCACTGCAGGTGTTCTCCCCCGGCAAAAGAAGGCCCAGAGCCCAGAGTGAGGGCAGTGGGGCAGGAGTAGTCACCCCCAATCCCACAAGCCCCTGCTTAACCCTCCAGGTTCTCCCAGATGGTTCAGGACAAGCCCCTGCGCACATCCTGGCAGCGGAAGATGAAGGAACGACAGGAGAGGAAACTGACCAAGGACTTTGCCCGACACCTGCAGGAGGAGAAGGAGAAGCGCCGCCAGGTGAGAGGCCAGCCAGGCAAGGCTGCAGCTCCGGGGCTGAGCATGCATGCCTCTGTAAGGCATGCAGGAGCCGGGCAAGGCCGACAGTCAGAGACCTTGAGCCCCAGGGCCCCCCTTTGGACCCTCAGGGTGGGGAAGTGCAATAAGTCATCCAGGTCAGGATGGGCAGGAGGCTCTAAAGTGGGGTGCAAGAGTCCAGAAAGAAACCCCAGGAGGCCCTCCCCAGTGGTAGGGCATCCAGTGAGATGTGATCAGGGTCCCTTCCCCAGGACCTGCTCAGTAGGGAAAGGCCTACAGTTTGGAAAATCTTGTCCCCAGTTTTGCTGCGTCATTCAAGAAGTGACTTCCACACAACAGCACTTGGACAGTCCCCACACCTGTCACTCATCCTAGAGCCAGGAATGTCCATTAGAGGCTCACACCTCACATCTTCAGTCTCCAGGCAGTAAAAGGTCCCAGCTTCACCCACATCACCAAGGCCTCTCTCCAGTAGGGGTGAAGAGGGCACTCAGCAGGCAGCATCCAGAAAAGCCAGGTGGTGGCTGCACTGGGCAGCAGTGCTGTCCCCCAAGCTGCCCCCCAACACCAGAGTTATTGGGGATCCTGCCCATTGGGTGACCTCAGGGTGCAGGAGGAGCACTGATCCAGGGTCAGATAACTCACCCTACCTGTTGATTTGGCCCAGGTCAGCTTGCGGCATGGCCCTAGGGGCAGTGTGGCTACCTCCATGTGCTGAGGTCTTACCTCACATCCTGCGCAGCCCTGGCTCCCTCTTAAGCAAGACAGCTGCCTTCTCCTCAGCCCCAGCCCATACCTCCCCCGATACCGCAGGAGCCCAAGTTTCACTTCTCCTTTCTCCCCAGGGGCCCAGGCCATCCTGTTACCCCAAGCTGACAAAGCCAAAAGAGGCACCTGACCATGCAGCAGCCTGGGAGCTGATGTCCCTTCCTGGGCTTTTCAGGGGACCCTCTGCATAGTCAAGGGCATGGCTTAATTTCCAGGACAGACCCCATCTAGGTTGTGAGTGTCCTCACAGCAGGATGCTGTCTAAAACCTGCGCATGCACTCGTCCACTCACCTTGCAGGAGCAGGGTACTGTGGCTGCTCTGCTTTCCATATGGGGGAGTTGAGGCATTTACCTGTTTAGCAGTTATCTGAGGCCACCTCACCCAGGGTCACACAGGCAGTAAGCAGTGAACTTGGGGCTTGGCAACTACAGCTGTCTTCCTCCAGTGTCCAGGGAGGACCCATGCTCTGGAACTGGACTGTCCCAACCCCAGAAGCAGTCGAGACTCAAACCTGGGCCAGATCCCTCAGAGCCTCTTCTGAGCAGCTCAGCTCTTCCAGCCCCACCTCTGGGGACACCAACAGAGCCCAGGCCTCACATTTTGTGGCACTTGGGCCTCGGGGGAGAGGGAGAGGGAGTCGCTGGGAAGGTGGGAATGGGGGATCCACCTCCCTCATAGCTAATGAGCAGTTTGGTAAACAGCCTGTTCCAGGCATGTGCAAAGTTCCAGGGAGGGAGGCAGTCCTCCTGTCTAAGCCCTTTCTCAGCTGTCTGTCCAGGTACCCTCCTTCTAATGTGGGGTTCAGACTTTCCAGCACAGTGGGCATCTGGACGCCAGGCCCATGGCACAGTGTTGCTCTCCTGGCCCTCCCATTGGTCCCCAGGTTCCATGCTCACCACCAGAAGCAACACGGAGCCCAGATAGGAGTCCTTCCCCCACTTACTGGGAATTGACCAGCCCTCACTCTGCTGGGCCACCTTAGCTCCCAGCCTCAATTCCCTTGCCCGTGTGCCCCTGTGTGTTCCAGGAGAAGAAACAGCGCCGGGCTGAGAACCTGAGGCGACGCCTGGAGAACGAGCGGAAGGCTGAGGTGGTCCAAGTGGTAAGTGTCCCCCAGCCACTTGGCTGAGGCAGACATGGCTGGGCCAGGTGAGGCCTTTGAGGTGCCTTGCCCATGACTGTTCCTGCTGTGATCCCAGACCTCTGCAGGGTGGCTTCCCTCTCCCACAGGGACAGGGAAGCTCCTCCCAGCACACTAATGACTCTCCTCCCACCCCCAGATCCGAAACCCTGCCAAGCTCAAGCGGGCAAAGAAGAAGCAGCTGCGCTCCATTCAGAAGCGGGACACGCTAGCCCTGCTGCAGAAACAGCCACCCCAGCGGCCAGCAGCCAAGGTCTGAACTCAGGACAGCCAAGGCCCTCCAAGACCAGCAACCACATCAGATATGGCCATCTGGCCTCTCGGGTCACTGGTCAGACACTTCTGCTGGAGCCAGCACTCCAACTCTGTGGCCTCAAGACAGGGATTCCACCCTGGACAGGACTCTTGGGCCTTTGAGGGATTTTGAACATGTCTCTGGGGGCAAAGCCTAGGGGAGGGAAGAGGTTCCAGTCCTCTCTCCTTCCCCATCCTCCAAAAACCTCCAGACTAAGAACAGTAAAGTCTGGTTTCTCATTGACCTAGCAGTACGTGTCCTGTCTGAGGGTCTTGGGTCCAGCTCATGCCTGGAGGCCAACATTCAGGAACCCAAGTCCCTTACACCTTCCCAGAGGCTGCTTTGGCTACTTCTGCACTCCGCTAACTCCAGCAAACTGAATCCAGCTCCTCCCCACTTGAACACTGAAGGTTTAAAATGGGGAGACTGCAGGAAGCAGAGTCAGTTTCTAGCAGCCCCTTTCCTATACCAGACTGCAGAAGTCCCACAGATCTAAGCCGTGCCCATCTGGTCTACAACAAAAGTATTTATTGAATACCTCTGGTATACAGGTACAATTCTGGGCACCAGGGAATACAGACAAAATTCCCTGCCCTCTGGAGCTTTTATTCTGATGGGAAAACGTAAGCAAGTCAAGTGTGTGGTGTGTCTGGTGTGAAAAGTGCTGAGAAATAGCAGGAGCAGGAGGCCACACAGGGTGACATCTGGCTATCCAGTTTGCAGTGTACATGCTCTGGGTTGCCCTGCCTGGCACCCAGAATTAACAGCTGGCCACCCTGGTCCTTGGTGGCCCCGGCCTTCAGTGGTCAGGAGTAATGGACCAAGATCACAAAGACTTTCTCATCCCTGCTCTTCCACTGATGTTCCGCAAACCAAACAAATATTTGCTGGCACCAGCTGTCAGTCCTTGGCATGCAGCGCTGAGGCACAGCAGTCTGCCCTCCAGTCCGTGGTGGGCAGAGGCATTAGGGACCATGCCGTGGAAGTGCTACACAGAGGTACAAGCCGCCCCTTCTGTGCATCCATTGGAAGTGATGCTCCCCATTCCCCATGTGGGCAGGTGGCAGGTGCTGCAAAGACCTTGGGATTAACTGTCCAAAGGGCATCTTGTAGGATGCCAGTCCTGTCCAGGGCTCAGGATGCCATGGTCAGGTTCACTAGAAAATGTCATGTGCTGTGAATTGCTGTGTCCATTCAGATGCCAAAGGGTAGACCTCCAATAACAATGCACAGTGACTTGGATTAGCCCAGGTTTTCCAAGCACTTGACCATGGCACCCCCGGGGCTCTGGACAGTACTAAGTAGCTTGGGTAGGTCTTAGATGTGCTCCCAGAATAGGAATGGAGTGAACAGAGTGCAGACCCTGCAGACAACACAGTTAAGCTCCCTGAACCCCAATAAGCTAATCCTGAAGATTTGCAGAAGAAAGCATCTAGTTCAAACCTTGGCTGAGTACCTAACCTGAAGGCCTTAATCTGGAATGGTGCTTCTCAAACCTTTCTCATTTTACTCCAAAAATTTGTACAACTATCCTACCCTAGCCTTCCACAGTCACATCAGCTGGTAAAATTGGGCTCCAGGGAGTTGTACCATTGGGACTGTCTGCTAGTCTTAAAAAGTCATGAGTTTAGCCTCATGTTACTTACTCCAAGTGTGGTTCTTGGATCAGCAGCACTTAGTGACTGCCTGGGAAGTATTAGAAAAGCAGAATCTCCGCGCCCAGCCCCACCCACTGAAATAAACTAACAAGATCCCAGGTGACTTATAGGCACTTCAAGGTTTGAGAAGCCCGGTTTCAACCAGGTCGTTTCTGAAAAAACTTAAGTCACCCAGGGTGCTGACTCCTGAGCGCTGACGAGGCCTTGCGGTAGTCTTGACGCTTGGTTCGAGCCTTGCCTCTGCCTTGGGGAGAAAGCAGGTCCGAGCCCTGCGTTCCGGGCTGCGCAGGCCATTGGGCTAGTCCGAGGTGGTGCTCAGCGCCCGGTTCAGGGCTCCCCTTTCGTCTTGGGATCGGGCCAGGTCCCTCTGCGAAGGCGCTGCGCTGTTGCCTCGAAGCCAGCGGAGGAGGCGCTCCGGGCGGAGCGGGGGCGCGAGGCGGCCCGCGAGCGAGAGGGAGGAGGCCGAGGTGGCGGTGGAGGAGGCGCGACGGCGGCGGCTGCCTGCCCAGCCGCCCAGGTCGCTGTCGTCCACCAACACGCTCTCGAGCACTGTGCGCAGCGAGCGCCGCAGCTTGCGCACCACGTCGGGGCAGGTGAGCACGTAGAGCAGCGGGTTGACCACGCTGTTGATGAAGGCCAGGCTGGTGACGAAGGGCAGCCCACGCCACACAAGCGGCCGCAGCGTAGGGACTGAGTGCGCCCGCGCCTCCAGCAGGCAGAAGATGTGGTAGGGCCCCCAGCAGAGCACGAAGGCGGCCACGATGGCCGCCACCAAGCGCACGAAGCGACCTGGCCGCCGGCGTCCCCTGTGGCGAAGCTGCACGCTCACAGCCGCATGGCTTGAGGCGATGATGGCCAGCGGCACCACGAAGGCCAGCAGGAACTTGCTGACCGCCAGGGCGGTCTGGCGCGAGTCGCACGTGGTGTTGTGGTCAGGCCCGGGGTTCAGGAGCAGCACGTTGTAGTAGCACATGATGCGCCCGTCCAGCCGCGGGATGGTGTCCCGGAACACGAAATAGGGCACGGTGTTGAACACAGCCAGGACCCAGAGCACCAGACAGACTTTGTGGGCCACGGCCACCGTGCGGTGGTTCTGCGCCCACACCGGCCGCACCACCTGCAGGCAGCGGTCCAGGCTGATGGCGCTGAGCAGGAAGCCGCTAGCAAACATGTTGAGGAAGAAGATAGAAGAGTGCAGTTTGCAGAAGGTGGTGCCCAGCTCCCATGAGTGTCCCACGGCCAGGAAGTAGGTGAAGAAGGGCAGGGAGGCAGCGGCCAACAGGTCAGACAGCGCCAGGTGCAGCACCCAGGTGGTAACCACTGTCTGGCGCATGCGACAGCCCACTACGAAGAGGATGAGTCCATTCTCCACCAGGCCCAGCAGCGAGGCCACCCCGTGCAGCAGCACAGACACATGGTCGATTAAGCGGATGCTGGAGTTGGTGTGGCTCTGGAGTTGGCTCATCTGCTCCAAGATCGGACAGAGTGGCTTCAGGGTGGTGTTGGCCAACATGACGGAGCTCTGTGGTGTAGAAGGACACGCGAGTCTGGCCGAGCTGGGACACCCTAGGAACCAGAGAGAGCCCTGGGAACCTTGCTAAGAGATAAGGTGACCTGCCAATGTGATAGGTGGGGCCACTGGGGACCAGTGACATTGAGCAAAGTTGGAGTGACCAACATCCCAGCTCCACCACCTGCTCCCTGTGGGACCTTGGGCAAGTCATTGAGCTTTCCTGAGCCTGTTTCCTCCCCTGTAACGTGGGTGTTCCTCATAACTATCTCTAACTCATGGGCTATCAGAATAAAAATAAAATAAACTCATGAGTTAATATGCAAAAAGGCCTGGCCCACAGAACTGTGGTTAATGGAGGTCAGGCCGTGCAGAATTCCTTTTTGCTGCCCCAGAGCACTGGTGGATGGACACAGCCCCCATATGGTGCAGGAGCTTTGCAGCCACCTAGAGAAAGGGGGCAGGAGGAAGAGTCTCCACCAGCCCTCCCCAGCACCCCAGGCTTTGCCTCTGCAGGTCCTCCGGAGTCTGTTGGTCACACAGAGGTGGCTGGCTGGGTGTGTTGACCGCAAAAAGCAGAGCTGGCCCCTCCTCTGATAGCAGGAAAGGAAATGAGATAAGAGGAGAGAGAGCTGGGCACAAGGACCCACCCGATGGCCCCAGGGTACCAAACAAACCCTCCTCCTAGGGGCAGCCTTAGCAATGCTACCAATCCCAGGAAACCCACCCCTGTTCATTTTCTCACTCACCCACACACCCCCCCAGCAGCTATTTATCCAGTCACTACCCCGCGCTGGAGAAGCCAAAATCTGACAGACACAGCACACAGCCACACATGCTCACAGCCAGCCACACATGCTCACAGCCTCAGAGAATCCCAGAGCCCTCCGAAGACTCGGGGGAAGCTGATGGAGATCGAGGAGGGTTGACTTGGGGTGGAGGCTCTCTGCCGCAGGGTGGAGAGGGGACAGAGCAGGGCATGGGAGCTCAGGTTGCGCTGGGCACTCATGACGCGCCAAGGACCCTGGAAGGTCCTTTGCATAGGTGCCCATCTTTCTCATGGCTCTGAGAGAAAGGTGCTAGGCTCTGTCTCTGCCACTTTCCAGATGAGGAAACTGAGACAGGAGTGTTTGAAGAACTCGCCAATCCACCCAAGCAGCACAGCCACACAGAGGAGCAACAGTGTGGCACTAAGCCAGGGACGAAGGAGGGAAGAAGAGAAAGACGGAAGCAATGGCCTTCAGTGCTCCTCTTCCCAGCCCAACACCTGGCCGGCTAGGATGGCAGAGGGTGAGAAAATCCACTCCCTCCAGGGATCCCGCTCTTCGCAGGGTGGGCTCCTGGGATCCACACTAGACTTTCCCTGGGAGATGGGTCCCTTGAAGCTGAGCTCTACAGGTGGGTGGGAGGGGAGCTGGCCTGTGTGCCCTGAGAATGGTGCTGCTTCCCAAGCTTTCTAGTTTGCAGTTACCTCCCAATAACCCCATGAGACCCCATTTTGCAGAGAAGCGTGGCTTCTCTGTCCTCGGCTGCAGCAGGGGCTGGGACTCTTCTCCCAGCACACCAGGTGCATGCCATCCCCTCAGCCCTAATGTTTGCCTGAGTCCCACGGGATGCTCGGAGAGCACAGTCCTGCCAGACCCTCTGGAGCCATCTACCTGGTCCCTCTGGCTGCATGGAGACAGCCCCCATCCTCCGTCCCAGCAGCTGGGGTCCTGGGGTGCAGGGGCCCAAGAACACAAGTTTGGGGAGTCCAAGTCCTGGGCTTGATTCCAGGCTCCTTGGCTTCCAGGCTGGGCAAACCTGGGCAGTTACCTCAAGCCTGCTGGTGCCATCTTCCCCCCGGTCAACGACTGCCACTGCGCCTGGTCTCTAGTTAGCGCCTGAGAAAGCTGACTCCTTCCACCCTCTGAGCAGCAAGTTCCCTCCCATCTGGTGAACTCACTCCTCTGCCATCCTGTCCCGTAGCAGCCCTCTGTTCTGGTAAAATTCTGCCCTCTCCTGTGGGTCCAGAGAGGGCACTAAGGCTGCCCAGCCCTGGACCATGGCCTCCTTACCTGGGCACAGAGGGAGCA